TATATCAAAAACTGTTCACAGCGTAACGAACTGTCGAAGATAAATTCATAGTTGATTCGGCTTTCTTGTTACAGGTTCGCTTCGGCCCCGAGGTGGCCATGCACACCGTGGACCGCAAGGGCGACAAGCTGCGCACCATCAGCTTCGCCAACGTGGACTCGCTGACCGTAGAGGAGTCGGTGTGCACGGGGCTGGGCAGCGGCTCCAAGCCGCTCGTGCTGGTGCGGGTGCCGCGCGACCACGACCTGGTGCTCGAGTTCGACTCGCTGGCCGCGCGCAGAAAGTTCGTGTCCAAGATGGAGGCCTTCCTGGCGATGCAGAAGAAGCACCTCGTCACGGTGCAGGGCACGCGGGAGCAGATGCTGGCCAACGCCGAGACGCGCGAGCGCCGCCAGAAGCGCCTCGAGCACTTCTTCCGCGAGGCGTACGGCCTCACGTTCGGCATCAAGCCCGGCGACAAGCGGAAGCGCTTCCAGGAGACGGGCGAGAACGGCGAGGTGGTGACCGTCATGCGCACGTCGCTGTCCAAGAGCGAGTTCGCCAGCGCGCTCGGCATGCGGCCGGACGCCGTGTTCGTGAGGATGATGTTCAACATCGTGGACAAGGACGGCGACGGACGCATCTCCTTCCAGGTTCGTTTCTTTTCGTAAAGAAAGAAAATAAAAGTGTATTTGTTTGGCACGATGGTTGAACTCGTTATGTTCGGTCCCTTTAGGAGTTCCTGGACACGGTAGTGCTGTTCTCGCGCGGCAAGACGGAGGACAAGCTCCGCATCGTGTTCGACATGTGCGACAACGACCGTAACGGCGTCATCGACAAGGGCGAGCTGTCCGAGATGCTGCGCTCCCTCGTCGACATCGCCAGGACCAACAGTCTGTCGGACCAGCAGGTCACCGAACTCATCGACGGCATGTTCCAGGTGCGTGTGGGCCCCGTGCAGCGTCGCTACTTTTTAAGGATCATCCCTGTCTCACTGTCTCCCCTCTTCCTCCCTCCAGGACGCCGGGCTGCAGCACAAAGACTACCTCACTTACAACGACTTCAAGCTCATGATGAAGGAGTACAAGGGCGACTTCGTCGCCATCGGTCTCGACTGCAAAGGCGCCAAGCAGAATTTCCTGGACACGTCCACTAACGTAGCGAGGTAAGTCCAGGCGGTGGCTGCTGGGGTCGAAGGCAATGTGTGACACCGCCGTTCAACCAGTTAATCCCCTGCCGCCATCACCCCACTCCATATTATATCCCTCTCTCCCTTGCACAGAATGACGAGCTTCCACATCGAGCCCATGCACGACGAGCGGCGGCACTGGTTGCTGCGGAAGTGGGACTGCATCACCACCTTCCTGGAGGAGAACCGGCAGAACATCTTCTACCTTCTCCTCTTCTACGTTATCACCATCGTGCTCTTCGTTGAACGATTCATCCGTAAGTGTTCCCAGAAAAAGACCCTAGTGGGGACTCTATGGTTGGCGGAACACTTCCCCCACCCACACCTTCACGCTGGTTCTAATAGATTTGATTTTTGTGCAGACTACTCTTTCCTGGCCGAGCACACGGATCTTCGGCACATCATGGGCGTCGGCATCGCCATCACCAGGGGCTCCGCGGCCTCGCTCTCCTTCTGCTACTCGCTGCTACTGCTCACCATGTCGCGCAACCTCCTCACCAAGCTCAAGGAGTTCTCCATCCAGCAGTACATCCCGCTCGACGCCCACATCCAGTTCCACAAGATCGCGGCGTGCACGGCGCTCTTCTTCTCGCTGCTGCACACGGTCGGCCACATTGTCAACTTCTACCACGTGTCCACGCAGCCCCTCGACCACCTGCACTGCCTCACCAGCGAGGTGCACTTCCCGTCCGACTACAAGCCGGGCATCACCTTCTGGCTCTTCCAGACCATCACCGGCCTGACGGGCGTCATGCTGTTCGTCGTCATGATCGTCATCTTCGTGTTCGCGCACCCCATCATACGCAAGAAGGCGTACAAGTTCTTCTGGTCGGCGCACAGCCTGTACGTGCTGCTGTACGTCCTCTGTCTGATACACGGCTTGGCCAGGCTCACCGGCGTGCCACGCTTCTGGATCTACTTCATCGGCCCCGGCATCGTGTACACTCTGGACAAGGTAAGTGCTGCGAGGCTGGGTGGAACGGCAACGGATGCTTCGCTGAATTTCTTTCTCTGACGCTTTGATTACTTTCAGGTGGTCAGTCTGCGCACGAAGTACATGGCACTGGATGTGATCGAGACAGAGCTCCTGCCCTCCGACGTGATCAAGGTCAAGTTCTACCGACCACCCAACTTCAAGTACCTGTCGGGCCAGTGGGTGCGGCTGGCCTGCACCGCCTTCCGCGCCGAGGAGTTCCACTCGTTCACGCTCACCTCCGCACCGCACGAGAACTTCTTGTCCTGCCACATTAAGGCGCAGGGACCCTGGACCTGGAAACTGAGGAACTACTTTGACCCCTGCAACTTCAACCCAGAGGAGGACCACCCCAAAGTAAGCCGCGGAGGGCCAGCCGGCCTGTTGTCAATATCTCGCCACTGTGCTCACTGCTCACTTCACAACGAAACGTCCCCTTTTCTAGATACGCCTAGAGGGCCCCTTCGGCGGCGGCAACCAGGACTGGTACAAGTTCGAGGTGGCGGTCATGGTTGGAGGAGGCATAGGCGTCACCCCGTACGCGTCCATCCTCAACGACCTCGTGTTCGGAACCTCAACCAATCGTTACTCCGGCGTCGCCTGCAAGAAGGTTTACTTCTTGTGGATCTGCCCGTCGCACCGCCACTTCGAGTGGTTCATCGAGGTATTGCGGGACGTGGAGCGCAAGGACGTAACGAACGTTCTGGAGATCCACATCTTCATCACGCAGTTCTTCCATAAGTTCGACCTGCGCACTACCATGCTGGTGAGTGTATAGGCAACCAAAGTCAC